AGAGCCCCGCAACCGGCAATGGCGTCCCACCGCCCTCATGTGACCACCTCCAGCCCCCGAGGGCCGACGATGGACTGGCGATGGGCGGTTACCCATATCACCGCAACGTTCTTCCCCGCAATCCTCCGGCTGACTGAAAAATGGCCGAATCCCTCGCAGAGCTTCCCATCCCCCAGACTAGACCATAGAGCCCCGCAACCGGCAATGGCATCCCACCGCCCTCATGTGACCAGCCCCCGAGGGCCGACGATGGACTGGCGATGGGCGGTTACCCCATTTCACCGCGACGTTCTTCCCCAAAATCCTCCGGCTGCCTGAAAAATGTCAGAATCCCTCGCAGAGCTTCCCATCCCCCAGACTAGACCATAGAGCCCCGAGACCGGCCTTGGAGTCCCACGGCCCTCATGTGACCAGCCCCCGAGGGCCGACGATGGACCGGCGATGGGCGGTTACCCATATCACCTGATTCTTCACCCTGCAGTCCGATCCGTGAATTCAGGTCACCACCCCCTGCGTGTGAGGAAAGTCACGGGGCCCCATTATCAGACGCACCTCCACCATTCGCAGGAAGTGGAGAACTTGTTGGCGTGAGGTCTGTCCCCGGCCCGCGGCACCTCCTAGTGTGACTCAGACGCTGATTGGACGCCGGCCAGGAATCGGAGTATTATTAGGTTTATTAGGACTATTTACCTCGGCGTTGGCCAATTAGACCGTGTAGAGACACGGCGCGCTGCCACTAATTGGAGGGGAGGCTTCATTCCACAAACCTCACCGGGAGGAAATCACAAATGTATTGTCACTTCAATCTGGAGACCCAAAATCTGCCAAAAACCAGCCAGCTCCGCCCACTGATTCCCCAAATTCAACATGAAGTATTTTCACTGCACAGAAGTGGATTTTGTCTCACCGAACATCCTGTTTGCGTGCCATGTTCCCCACCACGTGCCATGTTCCCCACCGCGTGCCATGTTCCCCACCGCGTGCCATGTTCCCCACCACGTGCCATGTTCCCCACCGCATGCCATGTTCCCCACCGCGTGCCATGTTCTCCACCACGTGCCATGTTCCCCACCACATGCCATGTTCCCCACCACGTGCCATGTTCCCCACCACGTGCCATGTTCCCCACCGCGTGCCATGTTCTCCACCGTGTGCCATGTTCCCACCACATACCATGTTCCCCACCGCGTGCCATGTTCCCCACCACATGCCACGTTCCCCACCGCGTGCCATGTTCCCCACCACGTGCCATGTTCCCCACCGCGTGCCATGTTCTCCACCGTGTGCCATGTTCCCACCACATACCATGTTCCCCACCGCGTGCCATGTTCCCCACCACATGCCACGTTCCCCACCGCGTGCCATGTTCCCCACCACGTGCCATGTTCCCCACCGCGTGCCATGTTCTCCACTGTGTGCCATGTTCCCACCACATGCCATGTTCCCCACCGCGTGCCATGTTCCCCACCACATGCCACGTTCCCCACCGCGTGCCATGTTCCCCACACCGCGTGCCATGTTCCCGCCACATTCCCCACCACTTTCCCCACCACGTGTCATGTTCCCCACCACGTGCCATGTTCCCCGCTGCGTGCCATGTTCCCCGCCGCATGCCACATTCCCCACCACATGCCATGTTCTCCACCGCGTGCCATGTTCCCCGCCGCATGCCACGTTCCCCACCACATGCCAGATTATCCCACCACGTGCCATGTTCTCCACCCGCGTGCCATGTTCCCCGCCGCATGCCACTTTCCCCCGCCGCATGCCACGTTCCCCACCACATGCCACGTTCCCCACCACATGCCATGTTCCCCGCTGCGTGCCATGTTCCCCGCCACATGCCACATTCCCCACCACATGCCATGTTCTCCACCGCGTGCCATGTTCCCCGCCGCATGCCACTTTCCCCGCCGCATGCCACGTTCCCCACCACGTGCCATGTTCCCCACCGCGTGCCATGTTCCCCACCCACAGCGTGCCATGTTCCCCCAACGCCACATTCCCCACCACGTTCCCCACCCACGTGTCATGTTCCTCACCACGTGCCATGTTCCCCACCACGTGCCATGTTCCCCCGCTGCGTGCCATGTTCCCCGCCGCATGCCACATTCCCCACCACATGCCATGTTCTCCACCGCGTGCCATGTTCCCCGCCGCATGCCACGTTCCCCACCACATGCCAGATTATCCCACCACGTGCCATGTTCTCCACCGCGTGCCATGTTCCCCGCCGCATGCCACTTTCCCCGCCGCATGCCACGTTCCCCACCACATGCCAGATTATCCCACCACGTGCCATGTTCTCCACCGCGTGCCATGTTCCCCGCCGCATGCCACTTTCCCCGCCGCATGCCACGTTCCCCACCACATGCCACGTTCCCCACCACATGCCATGTTCCCCGCTGCGTGCCATGTTCCCCGCCACATGCCACATTCCCACCACATGCCATGTTCTCCACCGCGTGCCATGTTCCCCGCCGCGCATGCCACTTTCCCCGCCGCATGCCACGTTCCCCACCACGTGCCATGTTCCCCACCGCGTGCCATGTTCCCCACACCGCGTGCCATGTTCCCGCCACATTCCCCACCACGTTCCCCACCACGTGTCATGTTCCCCACCACGTGCCATGTTCCCCACCACGTGCCATGTTCCCCGCTGCGTACCATGTTCCCCGCCGCATGCCACATTCCCCACCACATGCCATGTTCTCCACCGCGTGCCATGTTCCCCGCCGCATGCCACGTTCCCCACCACATGCCAGATTATCCCACCACGTGCCATGTTCTCCACCGCGTGCCATGTTCCCCGCCGCATGCCACTTTCCCCGCCGCATGCCACGTTCCCCACCACGTGCCATGTTCCCCACCGCGTCACAACCCGTATGTTCACTCCTCACATCAGAATTCACACAATCTCCTAAAATGAGAAAAAGAAAAAAAAAGTTATATCTCCGACTCCGATAATTGTCTGTGTATTCACTGCTCCGCCCCCGTGTACATCATGCAGTATGGGACTACCCAGCACACCCCACATACACTATATTGCCCCAAGTATCGGACCGCCGGCCTTCCCACACACATGACCTGTAATGGCCCCCCAGTCTTAGTCCGTAGGGTTCAATGTTGAGTTGGCCCCGCCCTTTCCACACGCATGACCTTTAATGGCCCCCCAGTCTTAGTCCGTAGGGTTCAATACTGAGTTGGCCCCACCCTTTCCACACACATGACCTTTAATGGCCCCCCAGTCTTAGTCTGTAGGGTTCAATATTGAGTTGGCCCCGCCCTTTCCATGCTCATGACCTTTAATGGCCCCCCATTCTTAGTCCGTAGGGTTCAATATTGAGTTGGCCCCGCCCTTTCCACACACATGACCTTTAATGGCCCCCCAGTCTTAGTCCGTAGGGTTCAATATTGAGTTGGCCCCACCCTTTCCATGCTCATGACCTTTAATGGCCCCCCATTCTTAGTCCGTAGGGTTCAATATTGAGTTGGCCCCGCCCTTTCCACACACATGACCTTTAATGGCCCCCCAGTCTCAGTCCGTAGGGTTCAATACTGAGTTGGCCCCGCCCTTTCCACACACATGACCTGTAATGGCCCCCCAGTCTCAGTCCGTAGGGTTCAATATTGAGTTGGCCCCGCCCTTCCCACACACATGAACTTTAATGGCCCCCCAGTCTTAGTCTGTAGGGTTCAATAATGAGTTGGCCCCGCCCTTTCCACGCTCATGACCTTTAATGGCCCCCCTGTCTTAGTCCGTAGGGTCCAATATTGAGTTGGCCCCGCCCTTTCCATGCACATGACCTTTAATGGCCCCCCCAGTCTTAGTTCGTAGGGTTCAATATTGAGTTGGCCCCGCCCTTTCCCATGCACATGACCTTTAATGGCCCCCCAGTCTTAGTCCATAGGGTTCAATATTGAGTTGGCCCCGCCCTTTCCATGCTCATGACCTTTAATGGCCCCCCAGTCTTAGTCCATGGGGTTCAATATTGAGTTGGCCCCGCCCTTTCCATGCTCATGACCTTTAATGCCCCCCCAGTCTTAGTCCGTAGGGTTCAATATTGAGTTGGCTCCACCCTTTCCACGCACATGACCTTTAATGGCCTCCCAGTCTTAGTCCATGGGGTTCAATATTGAGTTGGCCCCGCCCTTTGCCTCTTCTGGGAAGGCCGTCCACAAGGTTTAGGAGGGTGTCTATGGGAAGGTTGGACCATTCTTCCAGAAGCACATTTGTCAGGTCAGGCACTGATGTCGGGGGAGGGGCACTGATGTCGGGGGAGGAGGCCTGGCTTGCAGTCTCCGCTCTAATTCATCCCAAAGGTGTTCTATGGGGTTGAGGTCAGGACTCTGTGCAGGACAGTCAAGTTCCTCCACCCCAAACTGGCTCCTCCATGTCTTTATGGACCTTGCTTTGTGCACTGGTGGGCAGTCATGTTGGAACAGGAAGGGGCCACCCCCAAACTCCTCCCACAAAGTTGGGAGCATGAAATGGTCCAAAATGTCTTGATATGCTGATGCCTTAAGAGTTCCTGTCATTGGAACTAGGGGGCCAACCCAACCCCTGAAATACACCCCCACACCATAATCCCCCCTCCACTGAACTTTACACTTGGCACAATGCAGTCAGGCAAGTACCGTTCTCCTGGCCACCGCCAAACCCAGACACGCCCATCGAATTGCCAGACAGAGAAGCGTGATTGGTCACTCCAGAGAACACGTCTCCCCTGCTCTAGAGTCCAGTGGTGGCGTGCTTTACACCACAGCATCTGACGCTTTGCATTGCACTTGGTGATGGAAGGCTTGGATGCAGCTGCTCGGCCATGGAAACCCATTCCATGGAGCTCTCTACACACTGTTGTTGGGCTCATCTGAAGGCCACACCAAGTTTGGAGGTCTTTAGCTATTGACTCTCCAGACAGTTGGTGACTTCTGCGCACTGTGCGCTTCAGCATGCGCTGACCCCCACCCCCTGTCATGTGATGTGGCCTACCACTTGGTGGCTGAGTGGCTGTTGTTCCCAGTGGCTTCCACTTTGTTATAATCCCACTAACAGTTGAGCGTGGAATATTTAGTAGCCAGGAAATGTCACAGATGGACTTATTGCCCAGGTGGCCACCTATCACGGGACCACGCTTGGAGTCACTGAGCTCCTGAGAGCGACCCATTCTTTCACCAATGTTTGTAGAAGCCGTCTGCATGCCTAGGGGCTGGATTGTATACACCTGTGTCCATGGAGGGGATTGGAACACCTGAATCACATGATATGGAGGGGATTGGAACACCTGAATCACATGATTGGGAGGGGATTGGAACACCTGAATCACATGATTGGGAGGGGATTGGGACACCTGAATCACATGATATGGAGGGGATTGGAACACCTGAATCACATGATATGGAGGGGATTAGAACACCTGAATCACATGATATGGAGGGGATTAGAACACCTGAATCACATGATATGGAGGGATTGGAACACCTGAATCACATGATATGGAGGGCGATGCAATACTTGGGGCAGTGTAGTGCACTCGGTCGGTCTGTATTCAGTCATTATTGATGTTTCTTCGGTTGCAGAAATCGGATGAATTGGATATTTCATGGAAGAATTTTGTCCGTATAAAACCAGAAGATTCGGCAGACAGGCGACTCCTCCCGATAGACCGCGATCTGTTAGATTCCATTCCCCCGGGTTCCCGAGAGTGACATGTATAACAAATGGCGATATTCGGATCGGATCTGGAAATGGCGATATTCGGATCGGTTCTGGAAATGGCGATATTCGGATCGGTTCTGGAAATGGCGATATTCGGATCGGTTCTGGAAATGGCGATATTCGGATCGGTTTCTGGAAATGGCGATATTCGGATCGGTTCTGGAAATGGCGATATTCGGATCGGTTCTGGAAATGGCGATACTTGGACCTGTAGGCTGCATTCATATTACAGTAGCGTGTGAATGCGAGTCACGTTTATAAAACACACAAACAACACGCATTACGCTTTCTGTGCCATAAACCCCTCCCCCCCCCGCAGTAAACGCCGCAATGTGAACGTGAGGGGGATAATAGCCATACACTGTATATATATATATATAGGGAGGGGGAGGGGGAGCCGCAGGCTGCCTGTGCAGGATACGCTGCGCTCCCCCTCCAGGACGTCGCATTGAACCCGATCAGCGAATGATTAGTCGCCGCATTCTCCGGACTCGCATTGTGCGCCGAATCCTTCAGGATAAAACTTCCCAATTGTTCGGCCGCCTTCTATTCGCACAGAAATATATTTCTATGTCGGGATTAGAAGCCGCGGATAATACGGCTCATCTCTGATAGGACGCCATTGTGTCATGGCGGCGGTGGGTGCAAATCCTCCAGGGAAGGGGATTATCCTCATTGCTGCTGACTCAGCAGAAGGGATTGTCCCTGGAAGATGGGAGAGCTGGCCGGTGCGGGGTCACCTGATGCTCCAGATGGCCCTCCAATATCCCGCTCTCCCAGCGGGGGGCCGCCCCTGTGATGGACAGACCTCCAATATCCCGCTCTCCCAGCCAGCGGGGGGGGCCGCCCCTGTGATGGACAGACCTCCAATATCCCGCTCTCCCAGCGGGGGGGCCGCCCCTGTGATGGACAGACCTCCAATATCCCGCTCTCCCAGCGGGGGGCCGCCCCTGTGATGGACAGACATCTGCTTCTCTACACTGTGAAATCGCTGCAATTCCTCCATTCGGTGACCCCAGGAAGCCCCTCCGGCCACCTGCGCCCTCTGCACTTGCTGCTCCGTCTGGAGGAATGACAAGCATGCGGACAGTGAATTCCTCCACTGACTCAGGTGCCAAACCTCTGTGCCGGACAATGACCCCCATCTATTATATACGGACCCCCCCATCTGTTATATAAATGAACCCCCATCTATTATATACTGACCCCCATCTATTATATACTGACCCCCCCATCTGTTATATAATGAACCCCCATCTATTATATACTGACCCCCATCTATTATATACTGACCCCCATCTATTATATACTGACCCCCCCATCTGTTATATACTGACCCCCCATCTATTATATAATGGACCCCCATCTATTATATACAGACCCCCATCTATTATATACAGACCCCCCCATCTGTTATATACTGACCCCCATCTAATATATACTGACCCCCCCATCTATTATATACTGACCCCCATCTATTATATATCGACCCCCCCATCTATTATATAATGGACCCCCCCATCTAATATATACAGATCCCTATCTATTATATACAGACCCCCATCTATTATATACGGACCCCCCCATCTATTATATACAGACCCCCCCATCTATTATATACAGACCCCCCATCTATTATATACGGACCCCCCATCTATTATATAACGACCCCCCATCTATTATATACTGACCCCCATCTAATATATACAGACCCCCATCTATTATATACAGACCCCCCATCTATTATATAACGACCCCCCATCTATTATATACGGACCCCCATCTAATATATACAGACCCCCCATGTATTATATCCAGACCCCCCATCTATTATATACTGACCCCCCATCTATTATATACTGACCCCCCATCTATTATATCCAGACCCCCATCTATTATATACTGACCCCCATCTAATATATACTGACCCCCCATCTATTATATACAGACCCCCCATCTGTTATATACAGACCCCCCCCATCTATTATATACAGACCCCCCATCTATTATATCCAGACCCCCATCTATTATATACTGACCCCCCCCATCTATTATATAATGGACCCCCCATCTAATATATACGGACCCCCATCTATTATATACAGACCCCCATCTATTATATACGGACCCCCCATCTATTATATACTGACCCCCATCTATTATATACAGACCCCCCATCTATTATATACTGACCCCCATCTAATATATGCAGACCCCCCATCTATTATATACAGACCCCCCATCTATTATATCCAGACCCCCATCTATTATATACTGACCCCCATCTATTATATACTGACCCCCCATCTATTATATACTGACCCCCCATCTATTATATACTGACCCCCCATCTATTATATACAGACCCCCATCTAACACAGTGCAGGAAATGTGTATTTGCCCCCCCTGATGCTGAATGTTTGCCCTTCACACAGAAATGATCGGTCTAACAATGGAATGTTTGCCCCTCACACAGAAATGATCGGTCTAACAATGGAATGTTCGCCCCTCACACAGAAACGATCGGTCTAACAATGGAATGTTCGCCCCTCACACAGAAACGATCGGTCTAACAATGGAATGTTCCCCCTCACACAGAAATGATCGGTCTAACAATGGAATATTTGCCCCTCACACAGAAACGATCGGTCTAACAATGGAATGTTCGCCCCTCACACAGAAACGATCGGTCTAACAATGGAATGTTCGGTGTAACACTGAGAGACAGAATACAACAACAAATTCAGCAGAAATGCGTCTAACAAATGATGACTGATCTGCATGTTCATGAGGGAAAGAAGGATTTGATCCCCTATCATTCAGCAGGATTTCTGGCTCCCAGGTGTCTCTCATACAGGTAACAAGCTGAGATTAGAAGCAGTCTCTTAAAGGGAGTGCTGCTAATCTCATTGTGTGACCTGTATAACAGACACCTGTCCACAGGAGCCATCAAACCATCAGATTCCAAACTCTCCACCATGGCAAAGACCAAAGAGCTGTCCAAGGAGGTCAGGGACTATTTCGTCTTGCCCCCCAATATATTAAACACTGTTATATACAGCCCCCCCATCCCCCACCATGGGGGGTGGGGTATTGCCAGACATATGGGAGGAGCGATCTCGGCATTCGATGGCCATAGTCTGGCTGGTTCCCCGGTGTCCTCCATCATCAGGCAGAGCAGGTAATGGTGAGGCGGAGCTCTGCCCTCTCCACCTATAACTGAGATATCCTCCTGATGATAGGAAGACCTGAGTGCGGAGCACAGAAGGAGCAGACAGAGGAACAGGCCAATATCGGGGGAGGGGAGATTCCCAATAGGTGAACAATATCTCAGACAATAAAATGTGTCCCTGATTTTTTGGGAAAGCGGAGATGCGGGCCCCGTGGCGGGCCCCCGAGGCCTGGCTGAGCCCATCTATTGCCTTCAGCATCTGTTTGATGGATGTACAAAGCCGCGGCTCACGTTACAGAAACACAGACAAAGCAATCTGACAAACGGACGAGCTGACCATAAAAATTCAGATTTTTTATTAAACATTTTCTCAGCCTCAATGTTTATTTTTTAATAACGCGGTTGGCAGCGAATCGATTCCCTGAAATAAAACAGCAATTGTGGCGAACGGCGACTTTCTCAATATCGTTTGTGGTATCCGAATAATTCTGAAGGATTCTATTCATCCCAACCGCAAAGGGAGGGGCCGGCCGGCTATTGCCTCTCCAGATATTCCTGAGATGTTCCCGGGATGTGAGCCCAGCGTGGCGAGATAAAATCCGAAAGGATGGCGGGAAATCGCCCCAAATATGGAGCCAACCCTGAGCTACGAGGAGCCACAGTGTCCATGATGGTCCGGTGGTGGGATATCACCCCCAAATATGGAACCAACCCTGAGCTACAAGGAGCCACAGTGTCGGTGGTGGGAAATCACCCCAAATATGGAACCAACCCTGAGCTACAAGGAGCCACAGTGTCCATGATGGTCCGGTGGTGGGAAATCACCCCAAATATGGAACCGACCCTGAGCTATGAGGAGCCACAGTGTCCATGATGGTCTGGTGGTGGGAAATCACCCCAAATATGGAACCAACCCTGAGCTACAAGGAGCCACAGTGTCCATGATGGTCCGGTGGTGGGAAATCACCCCAAATATGGAACCAACCCTGAGCTACAAGGAGCCACAGTGTCCATGATGGTCTGGTGGAGGGAAATCACCCCAAATATGGAACCAACCCTGAGCTATGAGGAGCCACAGTGTCCATGATGGTCCGGTGGTGGGAAATCACCCCAAATATGGAACCAACCCTGAGCTACAAGGAGCCACAGTGTCCATGATGGTCCGGTGGTGGGAAATCACCCCAAATATGGAACCAACCCTGAGCTACAAGGAGCCACAGTGTCCATGATGGTCTGGTGGAGGGAAATCACCCCAAATATGGAGCCAACCCTGAGCTACAAGGAGCCACAGTGTCCATGATGGTCCGGTGGTGGGAAATCACCCCAAATATGGAGCCAACCCTGAGCTACGAGGAGCCACAGTGTCCATGATGGTCCAGTGGTGGGAAATCAGCCCCAAATATGGAGCCAACCCTGAGCTACAAGGAGCCACAGTGTCCATGATGGGATAGTGGTGGAAAATCAACCCCAAATATGGAGCCAACCCCCTG